GCGCACATTAACACTACTGCTTATCTTACCAACATGCTTGTTTTAAGCAATATTGGCTGTGATAATTTATGGCAATATCTGCAAATCTAAAATCAACATCCTCAAATCGGGCTATTATCAAACCCTCAAAGCAAATTGTTATGCTTTTCGGACGAGCCCATAAATAATGTTGTAATTGGAACTGGTCTCCCAGCTTTAAAAAATAAACTTTATGAGTTAAAAGCTAAAATAGTCCCCAAGTTTCTTAATTCAAACAAATCTATTCTCGGTGAAGACGTGAGAAAGATTATTATTGCCAAGAAAATTCCAAAGTCACCATCTGCATTCGACTATTCTGCTTAGAACCTTTTATACCCAGACGGCTCAAAATCATTGGTCTGATTCCTGCTTGTGCCGTAGTAGATGCTTCAGGACACGTTCTTCGCAATTACATATTTCACGAAAGTACTTCAACTTTCACAACCTAAGCCAGAGCTATCCTTCACGCGGCGAAACTTTCCCATAAAAACAAACTCAAAACCGTCATTGTTACTGACAGTTTGTCTGTATTACCAGCTTCGACATGAAGCACCTTCGGCAAATTAAGGAATATTATTACAACGCCCGGCGAAAAAATTAAAATTTTATGGATATCTAGTCATATCGGTTTATTGGGAAATGAGCAGGCTAATCGAGCGGCGAAATATGCCGCTTCGGCATCTCTAATTATGAATGACGTCACGGAAAACTTAGATCTTCAAAGATACGTTGGAAGAAAAGTTAAAGAGAAAATTGCTCAAGGAAATCTACAATATCATCATCAACACTACTCTTTTATTAACACTCAACTAACTCCATCTTTATATCCAATAAATGTTGAGAAAATCAAGATCCAAACATTTTCGAGAATTAGCCTTGGTCATACAATTACAACTCACCAATCTATCCTGAAGTCTTCCTCCCCAATCTGCAATTGTGGACAAATTCTCACTATAAAACACATTCTCTGTGACTGCCTTAACCTTACCTTGACTAGAAGTATTGCATTTGGAACGATTAACCCTATGGACCTTCTACAATCAGCTTCCGAACATAATATCAATTTAATATACTACTCTATCAAAACTACTAGGCTCAATATCTAATGTACTTTTATAAATTAGAGCCGACAGCCTGTGTTGCTAGTGCTCAAAGTCTTTTTTTTAGTCTAAGAATTTACTTCATTAGCCTAAAATTATAATAATAATAAGTTTCAGAAATTCGGATGGAGACGTTTTTAATGTTTTGATATGTGCCTATAAAACACGTTCCAAATCCGGCTAAAAAATTTCAATTTGAGTAATTACATCTCTGTAGTTATTAATGCAAACATCAATCAGTGTAATAGGGCAAGAAGGGTAAAGCTCTCCCTAACTCACAAACTAAAACTTTTCTCCCCATTATTCTGCGAAAAATAAATGGAGGACTGAGCCAAGCGGTATCGCGCTTATGTTATAGGGAAAATAAGCTAAGTTTCAAGGCGCCAAAGTAAAAAGAAATATTTATTTTAACCAAAATTTGAAAATGAAATAATAATTTCGTCAGTGAGGAAATTACTTAATGAAATTCTTACCCACTTTACTTAAATAAGGATGTAGTTACTCATTCCGTTTAAAGTCACAGATTTTTTTCTTTTTGAAAAACTGCTGATGTCTAACCAGCTCGGCTGAAGTTATATTTCACCTTTAAGTGCAACTCATGCAGTCGCTTAACAGCATATTTCCTCTCTTTTACATATCATACATTAGCTATTAGCATTTGCAAAACACAAAGTTGTAACCAATACTAAAACAACAAACAACAACAATTATGTATTAAAGTCATGAGTCATTATCTAATGGTAAAGCAAAAGTTTAGATGACTACAAGATTTACGTTTCTCATCTCAAAGTCATTAAACATCAAGATTAAAGTGCAATTTCCTTCGGCTAAGCTAACAGCCCTGAGTTATTATGCAATAAGTAAATGCGAAGTTGAAAATTTTCAATGCACAAGGAAAGTACCAAAACCAAAGCATCCCTTACAAGATGAACACATACTTCTTAGCAAGAGAGACTAGCGGCAATAATTTTAGCGTAAAATCCACAACTGTATGCTTTTGATATTATGGGGGTTAATGCGTATGTGTTTACATAATAAACTGATTATACAAGATTGTTATCTCGCCACACATCAGCACATAAAATCTCCTTTTATTATACTCCATGTTCCCTATTAATGTTATAACCTTTACCTACTTGATAATGCAAGCAAACCAACTTAATAAGATTTATGAGACAGCATTAATTCCATTCTAATCCAAGGCACATTTTGCTTCATCTTTCGTTATGTATGTTTTATATCATTTAAGGAATTTTTCTTTAACTAACGCTCCGTCAATGATCCTGCCTCTCCACCCCCCCTTAATGAGAAAAATTTTTAATTAATTGTGCCCAGCGGCTTTCGTTTATGTTATGAAAATCTATTATGTCTATGCTTTACAAATGCGAGGATACTTATATTCGTTAATGATCTCTGGAACATGTTTAAAATGTCTTTAGTCCTTCTGCATTTTGATGGAACATTAAAGCATTTAATACTGAAATGAATGAAATAATAGGTACTGTGCCAGAGTTCATTTGTTTTTCAATCAACCCATAATAGAAATTTGAACCTCTTTACTGCATACAACGCATGTTTTAATATTTTAATATTCGGTGATCGGTCGGGTGTGTGCAAATCCGTTAACTTTAAACTTGAATGGTAACATGGAATTCGCTGCGAAAATCAGAATAGATACATGTTTTCACAGACTATTCAATTTTCAAAAAACGGCAACGCCCCGCGGCAGCTTACATGAAGAAAAGTGCCACTATCTATGTCCTCACATAGATTGGTATTTTTTATACAATGCGATATATGCGATAACATGCTGGAAAAAACTCAAATGCACAATATATAATTAGATACTTTTCAATGCCGAAATATGTAACCATGGAATGTTAAAAAAGGCAGTTCGGCTCAAATGAAGTGCTCTATGTGGTTTTTATGGTTTGTAATAACGCGTTGGCTTTGTTCATCACAATCGATTCGCATTCTCATCAGTAATCTCTGGCAATGTAGAGTTTCTCAATTTGAAGTTCAAAGATCTAGGCATCAACAACATTTGGAAAATATCCAAATTTTTATTGAAATAAACGCTCTCATAAGGCAAATAAATCTTTTCAGATAAGCCCCACATCCGTCTCAATCGAATAGTGACTAACCAAAATTATAGCTTTTGGTGTGAAAACAATCCCCAGACAACTTCACATTCCTTTCCGAGTAAAAACCCGTAGTCGCGATGGGAAGGCGAAATAAATAGGTGTTACCGAATCTTTTTTAAATTAATTGGAGGACCTTAATTTAAATGACATCCAGATTCTACAAACGGACTACGCGATCACGCCTTAAACAATTAAATTATTGCATATTTATATTTTTAGTATTACGGGTGGTGGTGTGACAATGATTTCAAGAAATTTCTCCCCTAAGAGGAGCGATTTAACAACTTTGCACAATAGTGCGTGTAATTTCATGTCGCTGCTCTACATCGTTTCTCACATAAACCGACTCGTTAGCTCATGGATTGCTGAAAAAGAAGAAACTCCAGCTTATATAACGCGCTCTGCTGGCTTTTATTTTATTTATTTATTTATTTTGATATAAGGAATAACATAGAAATGGCCGAACTTTTCCATTCGGTCGAAAAAGGTAAGGTAAGGTAAGGTCAAAGCTAACACATGAAACCACATATGAATGATGAAAATCTGTCTAGATCGTAGAAACTCAATTGCCTCAGAACAACGAACATCGGGCACTCCATCAAATTAATGAAAGGGGGAGAATTTCTCGGTTGATCAAATTTTTACCTGGAAATTTTAGTACCGTCTGAAATTCAGAAATAGATTTTTTCAAAAGAAAAAAGTCCTAAAACTACAAATGGGACAAAAATATTGTACCCTAGCAATTTCGGTGAAAAGCAAAGCGATTATTCGTGAGGAAATTCCATAGGAACTAGCGGATAACCTAAAGGTACCGCAACAAAGAGCACACTTGTCTTCCTGCTTGTCTTATTATTATTGTTGCACTTAAGTAATTTTTCATTTTAAATACAAGTAAAATATTCTGATCATCGTTCCAAAGTGGTGGTATGATAATTGTTAACAACATCGTAAGCTACATGATAAAACAATGCGCTTACACTGCAAACTACAATCAATTTAAGAGAAAAGGAAAACCGACGAACAGATAGACAAACTATTGTTGTTTAATGATGAGAGAAGTATAGTGATATTTACAAAGATTTGTGTATACATACAACAATTTAGATAAAAATTAAAAGCTACACACACACCCACACTATCAGACTACCAGCAATTAAAGGCGTACAAATCGTAGTTATTTTTACTTCTAAAACGCGAACGCAAAACAATTTCTAAAAAAAAAAATGAAACATTCGTTCGCTGCATTCACAAAGCAACAGATTATAATTTTTGATTAGAGACAATTACTCTGTCCGGCCAAAATAATTCCTCTCCGCCCAACTCACCCTTCAATTGCTTTACGCCTTCAACACACGATGACGTGAAATATGCGAGAATTAATTTTCCAGATGCCACAAGTAGTTGTTCGTGTTCATGTTTCATAACGTTTAGTCAAGTATCAAAGTATTGTGTGCTAACATAGTACAGCATGAAGATCTTATCGATAACGCCAAGAGACGACCGGCAACGTTAACAATTTAATTTGTTATTAACTGCAGGTAATCTAATGAAACCTTTACTAACAACATTAAGACAGCCGCAATCGCCTTTTTTTTTCTATTAAATTCTATAGTTTTCCGTTTTATTTTGCTTCACATAACTTTTTTTTGGGGTAGAAGTTTGCGTTTATGAGGATTTTTATTGTTCATCTTGTTTTAGTTGTTAACAAGCTATTCGGTAGCATAGTGTATATAGTAAGAAATTTAAAGAAATTTAATATTTTTATAATAAAGAGTCGTGATACGTGGTGATGCGAGTAACAATTCTAAATTTTTTCAAATTTTGTGTAATTATCGTGACTTTATGTAGTTATGTGCAAGGTAGGAAATCAAGTGCCGTGTAAGTTATACCCAATGAGACCACCAGTGAAGTATTTTCAAAGACAAAATAATTAGATAGCGAACTTTAAGGGAAAGGGAAATTTAAATAAACCTATACTGTCCTGTTGCAAAAGATTCGCTCTATTTGATTGAGTTGTTTCAAACACGGCTGACTTTCGCATTGAGCTCTGCGACCTTGTTCTATGACGGCACCATTGCGATTTCCTTATTCAAATATAGTTTCTTACGGGCGTAATCGCATTTGCTACTGAACTTTTGGCATGTGGCTTGATCAATATTTTTTGCTAGTGCAATTGGCAGTTGCTTAAACCTCGTGCATGTGGTGGACGTCGCTTGCTTGCTTTAGTCAGTTTTCTACCTCGCTCGTTTTCGGAGTCTGTAAGTTTAAACTTGGACCGTCGCCAAGTATGCCAAGTATGGACGCTGGCGACGCTAAACTTTAGTTCTTCCGTAGTGTTTCTATCTTTTTGGTTCGCGAACGTCAACAGTGATATGCATCTCGTCGAAATTTTGCATACGATTTTGAATTGTTTGCTTACCGAGACGATCACGATATGTTGGTGTCGCACTTCAGCCTTGGGAAGTGAATTTTAATAAAACGCTTATAAACCTAACTACATAAGTTCATAAATAACGAACAAAAAATGTCAAGAAGTTTTTCGAATATCTCACGCTATAATATAGAAGGAAATAGTTTTCTCAAATGACTTTTACATAAGCAAATTGTAATCAATTTGATTTTCGTAAATCTACTAAACCATCAATTCAATCCTTGGTATGAAATTTTTTGATTTTGTTTTAGGCCAACAAAACAAGGTATCACCGAAACTAGATTTCGAAGAGGAAGATGACGAAACAAGTAACTCCACTGTACTGGTCATACCAGGAGATGGAACGAAGGCTAAAGGTGATGGAAAATACAACGTGAAAGTGGAAGCTGATGAGAAAGAAACAACAACAAATAAAGATGGCGATAAATCGGGTCCGAAAATTCATGGCGTAAGAGTCACAGTTGACACAGGAGATCGAACTAAAGGTATTCGTAATATTGAAGGCATCTACGATGCTATAAGTTACTCCATTTGTAGAATCTAAAGAAAGCGTTGAAATAACCGATTTAAGTAAACACAAAAAACGTGTCGGCATACATACAGATATAACCTTTGAGATTACTGCAGGCGATGATGATAACGATAACAAGACCAGTCTAGAACAGGATATCGATAAAGGTACGTACATGCATGAAGTTCGATTACTTAAAAGTATTCATAATGATTTGCAGAAGACGCCAACGTGCCAATTTTTAAGGGACGTGATGGATCTAGACACAAATCCAGAAAACCCTACGACCCAAAATCTCAATGGAATCCAAATTTTTCCACAGAACACCGTGTTTATGACGTACCTGATCAGGGCAGAGATGGTTATTCTGGTTATTTTCCAGAATACTACCCACACAACGTACCGGTTTATGTGGGAACAAGCGATGAACGAAGCGGAGCTGACTCTATCTATCGACAAAATGACGGCTGGAACAGTTACATACCACGCTATTGGACCACAGAACGTACTTACGCCTACAGATCGAATGATGTCTCTAATTACCACGATTGGAAACCGTGTTACTGTGCGACATCTAGCAATGAATATAGGCGCCGTCGTCATAGTCATCGTCATGGTACTCACAATCGACCTGATTTCGTAGTAAATCCTACGAGTTCTATAATTAAAATTCTTGATGGAAAACTGGAAAGGCCTTTCTCTAAAGAATAAAACGAATGCCGTAGCTATGTTAATGACGTTTGAGAAAATTTTGCTTTCGAATAATTTAAAAATTGCTTGCAATTGAACGTGCTTTATATGTATTAAATATGTTCCGACTTTACCATTTAATTAATCAGTTCACTTGCTCTACTCAAATACAATCATTATTATGTTGCATCCACCTAATTAGTGATTGATTACTATGAACTGTCATTGTTTTTTTTAAACATCAATTTCTCTCACAAGTTTATTAATAGCACTAAAATCTTTAAACTTAAAAGTTAAGAATAAGTTCTGTTGTAAACAACTCGGATTTATGTATGAAGACTATAGCTGCTTACTTTGCCGTTATCGTCGAGAGTAGTAGTGGCCGCTTTGTAGCCAGTGCGGCGACCATTAACGTCATATTGTTCACTTTCACCAGTCGAAAGCTCTTTATAATTTTTCACTTGACCATCTGAGCCGAACTATTACAAAGAAATTTTCCGTTAATATTGCAGATAATCAGTTCCATTTCAAAAGCAAAATACCAACCTCAGACTGTGAAGACCATTTAGAACTCTTTTCCCAAGACTTTGTTTTATAACCCCCGCTGCCTGCACCACCGAAAGTATTTAAACCGCCAAGACCACCAACAGCATTCGTACTTTCTAAATTAGCAGCCAACTGACTGCCACCGGTCCTTGCACCACCGACGTTTAAACCTTGAACCTGCAATTTCGCCAAACGTTCAGCTTCTTGCATGTAGTTGTGTAAACCGTTAGAAGAGGCTAAGAAGTTGGAATTTCCACCTAACGAAGAATCAGCACCGAAACTAGAGCCGAATTTAGAGTTCAAAGTAGATTCGGAACCGGAATTTGAGCTAAATCTAGATTGACTAGAAAAGGTGCCTGCATCCGAACTCGCACTGCTTAAGCCGGTGCTGAACCCGGAAGAAGTGTCTACGTTAGATGAACCGCTAACGCGGTTAAAGAGCGCATTGGATGACCCGGTAGCTCGGGTAGATGAACCTAAAAAAAACAGAAGTTATTATTTACCAATTTTTTCCATTGCTGATAACAAACCGAAAGTACTTGAGGGAGCACTGTAGGGAGTTGCAACTGCGCCAAGATTACTATCGAAATGAACTGTTGAAGTACCCAAAAGGTTGCTCGACGCTAAAGAACCGGCGGTGGCGCTAGAAGAAGTTTGCTGGTTATAAGACGATGATAAAGGCGTTGCCAACACTTGAGGCTGAGTTGCCGAGCTTGTTATTTTTTTGTATTTCACGTACGACTCATGACCACCGGAAGGATTGGGCACCAATGGAAGAGGAGCTTGTTGCAGACGTTCTTCTTTCACGACTACGTATCGTTCAGAGCCGCTAGACGGGGCAGCGTAATGAATGGCAGGCACAGGTTGGGTTTGCAAACGGCTTTCTTGAAAATGCATAAACCTATCGGAGTCAAGTGCGACAGGAGCAGCGGTGTATCGAAGAACTGGAACGGCTTGATTTTGAGCTCGCTGTTCTGCTTGGTGTACGTAATTTTCTGACCCGCTGCTAGAAGGCGGAAATTGTATAACAGGAACAGAAGTTTGTTGTTGCAGACGCCGCTCAGTATGGTGAACAAATTTTTCGGAACCTACAGCGGGAGCAGTATAAACTAAGGGTGTGGCAGCATTTGATGTACGGCGTTCTTCTTGATGATAATATCGTTCTGAACCAAATGACGGTGACGTATATACTAACGGGGAGGCTACTTGAACATCGTCACGACGTAAATAACTTTCATATCCTCCAAGATCGCTACCAGAAATTGTCAATTCGGGAACAATTCTTTGAACATCAGAATTAACTGCAGCATTACTAGATGTAAGAGCTCCCAAGGAAGAACCATGGGATGAACCGCCGGCATAATTTGCTTTCGAAGCAAACGATGAAGAAGCAGCAAAATTAGCCGAATGACTTGAGCCAAATTTAGAATCGGCTGACGAACCGAAACCGGCACTACGTGCCAATCCGCCCCTACCTGTCAAGCCACTGCTACCTGTCAACCCAGAACTACTAAAACCAACAGTACCGACACCAACGTTACCATAGCGATCCACTTCTTCAAAGGAGGACTGGTGCCTAAAAGTAAAACTCTAAAAATTCTTACACAAATAAAACGTATTTTTCATCAATTTGCTTACCCGTCCAGAATATTGGATACTTTTTTCTTTGCCTCCTCTACACTTTGCTGATGCTGACTGTAATGTCTAATAAATGAATTAACACGTTACCCCAAATTTTTTTTCATACGTACCGAAGACAATTAGGAATTAATTTTTAAAATTTTACTTAAAATCGTCGTAAGAATACGATACTAAGTTAATTCAAAAATGTTCGGCTGCCCGTCTACTGTTGAAATTGTTAAGGTTGGGCCATTTTAGTTCTTATATATCCACAAAGTAGGAGAGAAAATGACCATAAAAGGAAATTAACGTGCACCGAGAAAATAGTCCCTGAGCATTTTTTTATAAATCGCAAGTTTTTGCCATTTGTCAAGTATTTAAAAGTTTATATAAGCTTATAATTCTCAATAAAGAAAATAATATTTCTAGACGTTCACCTTAGTGGGTCAATGTTCGACCTATAGTTGGTGCAGATTTTTTTTATTGAATTTATTTTGTAGTAAAAATTAATTCTTCATTGTTGAGGTACTTACAATTGATGAAAATCAGCCCTTAAATCATAAAATGGAAAAATAAAAATATATTTAAAATATAGAGAAGAAGAAGATCACATTGTTAAAATGGCTGGAGCCGAATCTTGAATTCACCACCTGAATAAATACAATGAAGTCTAAATACAATTCGTATGTTAAGTCGGACAGGAAGAAATATAAAAATTTGGGCACCATATTTTAAATACTAAGAATTACATGTTAAAATAGAAAAAAACATTCGCTTTCTTAAAATTAAGTGTCACTTTCATCACTAAAAAGTTCGACGTAAATGGCTGTTGTTCTCAGTTGCGTGTTAATAAAATATCTAAAGTCTTTCAGAATAATCAAAGCGTATATAATTCAGAGCAGTTTGTTTTCATTACAAAATTTCCCAAGCTGATATATATAAAATTGTTGTTTAACTTTGACTAAATACCAATGACATTTTAATAAATTGTCAGATAATGGTTAGTAAGAGAAACTAGACTCAATACCGAAGTTACTTAGAAACACACTCTTAACTTTTTTTTTCCACCGGCTACTTGCGATGCAACCGAAATGATAAACAAATGAGTTTCTGGTGGTGTGTATAAATGCATAATTATAAATATTAAGTGGAATGTTTGATATACTGACAACCAAGTGATTACCTATGATGCAAATCATCTGAAACGAAAAGGAGGACAACATTTTATTTATTTAACAAAAAAATTGATTATATAAACAAAAAAAATTATGAGAAAAAATCGGAAAAGATAGCCCGTACACTGGCTATGTAGGCGGAGCTACACTCATCTCTACGAAAGCCTCTACGAACGGATTTAGGCTCGACTAAAGGAACGAACGCCTGAAAACGAACGAGTTACAAGCAGACAAACGGGCAAGCCATCTAATAGAAAAATGTATACAGCCAAGGGGATGAATAAAAGAATGTAAAGAAGAACGATTGAGGGAACGTCCTATACACGGACTTGTATTAACTAGTTCTGAGAATGGAAATGTAAAAGAAGTGGCGTACGGCCAAATAACAAGACGTAGCGGTTAGCGAACGGACTAACAAACGAAACGCAGAATTTCGCATGAGGGAATAAAAGACCGGGAATAGACTGATTGACATAGGTAAGTAATACCATAGCTGATGGAATTACCGATGAGCACTCCTGGACAGTACAAACGAAATAAGATGTTGGTCTTTTCGCGCGTTCAGTTGATGAGCAGAAAAACTTTTCGAAGGAACTAGCTGCATTCGTTAAACGGTTAAATCCGCTTTTTTTTCAAAACTTTTACCTGCAAAAACAGGCCACAGGCAAAGCGCCAAAACAATTAGGTACTTCATCGTCCGAACCTTTCAAAACGTAAGAAAAAAATGAACTTTTTATATACAGACGCAAAAATCTCCGCTGCAATTGTTAACACGTCTTATACTGATCAACGATTTTTCATAAATGAAATGAATTTTAAAAACTCATCTATATTTGCAGTCGACAATCTTCCCTTCTTTCTATTTCATTATTCGCGCTATCTGGCCTTGTTCCACCAATTGCTTCTTAGAATTAATTTTTGAAAATTAATATAAAATTGATAAGAATGAAATTTCTACCAAAATTATTTAAACATTTCATATACTCACACATATGCAACTATTTTCTATGAAAAAGACAATTACTTGAACTTTTTGATAATAAATTGACCCAAACATCTCAAAATGAATGCTATAGACTTTTATAGATTGCTATAGGTGATGTTTTGGCTATGTATATAAAACGAGGAAAACGAAAATTTTTCATTTCATTGAAAGTGAAGGAGAGTTTTTTTGTTTTTTCTTATTGTAATTTTAAATATTTACAAATAAATTCGTTTATGTGCGCATGGGAAAGAGATAAGAGTCGACCTTCTTAAAATTATTTCCGATTTTGTAATAACCATGAAAAATGTAAATATATCAAAAATAACGCATATATAAGGGGAAGAGTAACGAATTTTGTGTTTAATGGGATCTCATATATAATCAGGGGTATTAGCACTAAAGGAGAAAGGAACTATGTTCGACTTAGCTATATGACCTTCTAAACTCAACGATGCTCAAAAGTTAGAATTTCCCGTAGTAATAATTGCTTGGATGTATTCTGATTAGCGACATCTATTGGTCAAAATGGCAAAGCAATGCCAACTAGCAATGTACCAATATATCAATGTTAAATTCGACGATTTTGAACTTTCTCTACAGAAAATAGCAATTTTCCTAAGGTAATCATAGAATGCTCAAAGTGTCACTTTCGACATTCACTACTTTTGTCGTTTGTTTTGAAGAGATCTACTGACGAAGCTCATTAAATACTTTTAAATGTGGTGATTTTGATGTCAACGACAACGAACGACGATGAAAGGTTCGACTGCGACAATCCTAAGGGCAAAAGGTCGTAGGTAATTCGCAGCGAGCCATCCACATCGACAACGAACCAGAATATTCATTGCCATAAAATTTTGCTGTGCATATAGCAGGATCAGTAAGATATAGTGTATTTCGAATTGTAAAAACCAAACGAACCTCTTAGTGCAGATGTCTATCGACGTCAATTGAACAAATTGAACGATGTATCGTTTCCAAAAGGCCAATTACAGCGATTAACGTATGCAAAGCAATTTTTTTGAATGACAACGCTCGACCATACGTTGCAAGAGTTGTAAAGGATGCACTACTGCTGCTTTAGTGGGAAGTTCTGCCTTATCCAGCGTATACACCAAACGTAGCGCCTTCTGATTACCACATGTTTAGATCGATGCAGCATGGATTAGCTGCCGCGCGGTTTCGAAATGCTAAAGAAGTGCGAAAATGGGTTGTTGATGAGATGGCTGGGAAAAACTTGTAGAAAACAATGAAAAACATTTTGATTAATATATATTGTGCCCAATATCAATCCTCAATGAATGCGTTTTTCAATTGAAAAAATTATCAAAATACATGCAATCACCTAATACACGTAAATTTGTAAAAAAAGATCGATTGCCGCAACCCAGACGAACGTTATGATAAACAACAAAGAGCATTTGTGCCAAGTAAAATGTTTCTATTTCCGTTTTGCGATCGTTAGAGTTCCAACAACCGACTTCGGCCTTCGGAATGGGATTGCATATAGACAAATATGATTAAGTCGCTTCAAAACTCCACTCTACTCAAAAGTATTTCATTTCCCTCTTAAAATTTCTGATGTCCTCGTTAGAATTTCTGACCATTGCGAAAAGAATTCCGAATCCTCCTCTGGTCGCTTATGTACGTAATATATATTCGTATGGAAAACTTATATAAAATCTAAGGAATTCTGCTTTAAAAGACACGGAAGGCTTTAAATATTTTTTGGAAAAAAGGGGATTAACTAATTTCTAAAAGCATCATCTTCCGAAAAAACATCTATTTTCTAGTCGTCCACTTATGAAAATGAGTAATGTAAATTACACTTTGCTACCTAACTCTCACTAGCAATTGATGAATTCCAGATTTAATAAGGCAAGTTCACTCTTGCGATATAAACACGTTTACCTTACGCCAACGTAGGCCTGGTCTAGTGTCCATCCAACTATATGCATACTTTATATTTATTAGCACTTTTTCTCAATTTGGGTGCAATGAACAAGTAAGACGCTAAACAGCCTAAAAACGAATTTCATATTTTGCATTATCACCGCTCAAACTAATGTATTCTTATCTTTAGAAACAGCAAAGATCGTAAACAGCAATTTCTCATGTAGATGTCAAGGCCGTCTCGAATAAAAACTTTTATACGGCATCCTGTTGTATTCACAATACCGGTGATCTACGGCAACAAAAGTTTGTAAAATTTTGGATACAAGTCATCCAGACGACGGTCATTTTATTTTACACTGGGCATGGACAACACTGTCGTTATCGTTGAGTTATTACTCCACAAATACTTACTTTCCCTGGTTTTGTCAAAAAATATTAAGAATTGCAAACTTTTCAATTTCATCTATTTTTCAGGATAGTAAGTTGTATGAGGAGTATACGTTAAAATGGACTCGTCCAACCCATTTACAGTAGGTCTCACCTTGAGACGTAATCCACCTTAACGTACGAGACTTTATCAAAATAATTCTAAACAAGTGCGGATTAAACATAAAAGATCGAAACATGGACAGGCGTAAAGCAGACACATAATCGTACATGCATTAAATTCTCATTTAGCACCATTCAAGTTCAAAATGCACCTACCTCCCTGCGAATATATTACATGCAAGCCATCCAACTAACTATACTTGCATATATCTCCCAAGTTTAATGTATACAGGTACTTAAGTGGTAGAAAAATTTTTCGTAAAAAAGTGAGCATTTTATAAGTAACTTAAACTGTGCCAAATTTAACATGCAAGTTGCGCATGCAAATTACTTTTATATAATTAAATGATTTAACGAAATTGAAAAAATCGCTAAGAACGGTGATTGACCGAATTATCAAAAAACCTTCAGAAATATTTGAAAAAAGAAACAATATTTCCTTTTATTTTAAGCACCAACAAGTAGATAACAATTCACTTCTAAGTTTTATTTATCATCGCCAATTCTTTATTTTCTGCTTTTTAATAATGTAGAGATATGTCTGTTATCATTCACTGAATGATTTTCATGCTTGATCACAACGAAAGATCGTAAGCTGAACATGTTGTAAGCTCTTTGTAGCAGTTCACTGTACTGGAAACATGCAAAAAAAAATGCCTCGTAGTAAACGCAAGAAAAAGCAGACTGAACGATCTAAGGCATTACAGTTCAAATATACATCATGTGGGTGTTATGATTATTTCTTTCAGTAGAGTCGTTAGTATTGTTTTTAACATCACAATTTGAGAAATCTACAGTTGTTTTTTATATATATATTGTTCAAATCAAAAACGAATTGCACTTTATATCAATCGTTTTACTTTAAGCAGCATTTTGTGCTGTGTACACACTGCCTTTGTGCAAACGTCTCTGGGGACCTTTATATAACTCTGAGTTCTGGCCGCTAAATGCAAAGATGGCGCAAATGAAGGCGCCCAGCTCTGCATTCTGCGATCGGAGAGGCTGCATGCCGTTATATAGCGTACTATATGGGCTTGTCGTTGCAGTGCAGTTGCTCAACGATATACAGAGCGCAACATTTCAAGCGGCAATACACAGCACGGACAGCAACGATGACGGGCAAGCGCAAAGGAAGTGCGACTTAATCGTGACGCTGACGAAGTTCGCGAACGTCTTCCACCAAAGCTCCAGCAACAACAGCACATGGATGGAGCTTAAAGCTGAAAAATTATTTAAATGAAAATTTAGCGGCGGACCGTATCGATGAATGCCTGGCTGATGATTGGAAATTTCACAGCGCTCATGGACGAACTACTTGAAGCTTACCCTGACGTAACCATAGCGTCTTACAGGGTGAGCCAGGACTTTTTGGAAAGGTTTTCCCACAACATGGCGCAGGGCTTCAGGGAGAGGACCAGCGCTGGTAAAAAAGATTCAGAGCTGATGATGACTACCTCCTCATCAAAGAGATGAGCTACGAACTCGAAGCGCAGGCCGGAGAAGAGTTTGTACCATTTGGCATTGATACGGAGGTATTCAGCCATCTGACCCTCAATCGGCTGAGCAGTAAAGAAAAACGCTACATGCAGCTGCTCACAGGATATGGAATCAGTGAGCAGATGGGATGCGAAGCGTGTTTGAAGGATCTCACGCTGGAGGCAGAAACCCTCTGCAAAGAGGAGAGCGGTCAAAAAGTTGCGAGCGACAGGAGAGACAACTTGACCCTCTCCTCCAGACATCTGAAACCGGCCTTCCCAACACAAGAGGTCCACGAAGCAGTCAACGAACGTTTTCTACGCCACTATGTGGCAACATATGGAGGAGCGGAACATCGGCAAGCACGTGCAGGCGACTGCACTGGCACGGCTTCCTTTCTTCAAGACTTCAGGATCCAGCAATAGCGGCAGTATCCACCAAATAAATTTATTTGGATACGCCCTCTTTATACTACTGACAGGAATAAACTTCAGGAAGCGCCAGGACATCAACATAACGTCATTCTAAGGTAAATATATTAAAATATATTTACATATCTAACATATATTCTTTTGTTTTATTCCATATATAGATTAAAAAAAACAAGGCTTACACCGCAGAAGATTATCGAAGACGCTTACTTCCTCGCCCAAAGGTAATTATAATGTTACATATACTATATAGGTATATTTACAAGTTGCTTATTATTATTCTATTTTAGATTCGAGTAAAAATTAAGTCCGCCTCTCCGGTCACCGCCTCCGCATCATGAAAATGAGTCGCTCTCCTCCAATGGTAAGTTTGTGTTTGTCCTATTTGTATTTATCTCTATTTTATCCTTATTTCTATTTGATTTTAGATAAAAAGACAAGTATGAGCCGCTGACTTCCGCTTCCAATTAAATACCGCCCATTACAGTGTCATTGCGCAAGATTGTCCGAGTGTTACGCAAGCATGCGATACTTCTATTGGCCAATGGAAGTTTGCGGTCATCTTTATATACAAAATTCAGTAACCACAATCTTTTCTTTTACAACATCAGCACACCAGCAGTGAATTTAAGTTCAGTTTATCATGGTGTAGGCCTAAAGGGGAGTCAGCCATTCAAAACAATTGGCAACGCTCCTATCAAAGTACCTCAAGGGTGGTGCGGAAAACCGTGCCATCAAAGGGTTCTATAGAAAAAGGTGTGGAAAGTTGAAGAAAAAAAGTTCACTATTTTAATGTCAAGAAAATTGTATAATTTTTTGTGTTTACTATTCCAGAATAACTTAACCTTATATTGATAATAGTTATTTGTTTATAATTGTTTTGTATTGTTTTCAGGAATTTACGCTATGCCGTTTGGAGTTAGATGATCCACGGGCCTGCATCGTGGAAGGAAAAGTTGTTACTCGTTGCGCGTTGGATTTCTTTCGCAAAGTAAAGAAATCATGTTATGAAGAATTCATGCAATATGCAAATTGCTTGGATAAAAGTATCGGCACTATGGCTTTCAGACAGTAAGATATAATCAATTAGATGAAATTAGTAAAAAAAGAAACAAATTTAAAGAAACTGCCATGTTTTTTTATATCTAAAAGTTGTGGCAAAACGCAAGACGTATTTAATAAATGCATGAAGAATAATTTGGATATCGATCGTCCAGAATATGGATACTTTACCAGGGCAAAGGTATATGAATGCTATTACTATATCTCGCTAGTTATCTAGAAGACTTTTTGCTACATTGTTTTTGTCATTCTTAATAGACACATCAAACAGAACGACCTGCTCCACCGAAGCGTGAAAAGAAAGTCTACGAAGGTGCTACACCCGGCTTGCCGTAGGATCATCCTAAGCCGCAAGCAAAGTATGGATCTCGTTTCCATTGGTTGGAACAAATTGCAAAAGCAGCAAAAGTCAGTGAATGGTAAAAATTATAAAATAAACATTTTTCAAAAACCCAAAAAAATGATTACATATTAAAAATATGGAAAAGAGCTAACTTATTACTTAATACCTGCTATATATTGACTTTCATTCCATTTCATTACATGTCGTTTTAAAAGCATGGGAAAAGAAACTAACTAATCAATTAATGACCATATGCCTTATTGACTTTTCCTCCATCGTTCAGTTTGATATCCATCGTTTTCAAAGGAATTCAAAATATTAATTTGGTTGGTAGTCTCTACAGAGAGAGATTTTTATACAAATCACTTGAGACTCTTTCTAGAAGTTCACAGCATTTTATTTTTATAAGAGAGGTTTTAGTTTTTTTGAAAATTGCGCCCATCTGAGAGTAAGCGTATTAAAATTGCGTCCATCTAAGAGTAAGCGTCCACATTTATTATTGCATTATTTCGCAATATGTGGATGTATGTGTTAGTCTCTCTATTGTTTGTTAATGTTATTTACGTTTTAAGCAAACTGAAAGAAAAATTCTATCTTGCTCATTTAAACTAAGAAATGAAGAGAATTTGGTAGCCCTACGCTCAATGCGCTCAATGGTACAATATACTTTTTTGGTCGTACAATATACTTTCTGGTCGTACAATATACTTTCTAGTCGTACAATATACTTTTTTGGTCGTACAGTATACTTTCTGGTCGTACAATATACTTTTTTGGTCGTACAATATACTTTTTTGGATCATTGAATATCTGCAGCTCTATATATCTCAATGGTATGTTCAATACTCGTAAGAAATTGTTACCATGCGAGTTGGTTGCACTTGTCCTTTTTGTTTCCTTATTGCAAGAAGAGGTTTGTACGATTTCTTAATTATTAAATTTTGGACTTTTTTCGTTTAAATTTTATTTAAAGTGCGATTTAAAATAAAATTTAATTATTTTAGTTAAAATAATAATTAAGAGTGAACTTTATATGTAGAGATGTGTCCGTTACCATCATTCACTGTTGTCTGAGCTTCACGATAATTGCTTTGTTTGCCATTAATATTGGAACTGGAGCTAAACGCACTCACCGAAACGCCCTTCAAACCGCCAGGTTCCACAGAGCCAAAACGATTTACAATATTCGGCGTATCCTGAAACAAGTGAAAGTCAGCAATGCCTACTAAGTAAAAAAAAAAAAACTTACCGGATTTTCAGGTGTAATATAAGCAGTTTGATAATAGCCATCTGGTCCTATGGAAGCGGAAGAAGCAACATAATTTGGAACGTTATCGCCTCTAAAATCGTAATCGTTTACATTCGGCATACTACCTATATTCTCATAGGTTTGGTATTGTATCTGACTGCAGGAAGAAAGAGAAACCTTAGACAAACACAAAGCAATTTCAAGAGACTTGAAAGCTATTTAATTTGGAAAATGTTAAATTTACTATAGCTATTTACTCAAGATTTTGAGGTAAATTAGAAGCATAAGCAGTTACTGTAGCATCTCCCATTGCGTAAGTGGAAGCAATAGCACTGTGTAGGAAATAAGTTAGTTAGTAAATAAGCAGAAAAATATACTACGATGCTCCTTCAATTTAAACTGCAGTTAATTAATAACATAATCCTTACTTTTGTATGGCCGCCTGGTGAGCTAATATTTGATTGGTCAATAGTTGATGGAATGCATACGGATCAAATGCGTTTAGACCAATATTCATGGCATAGTTGACGCCATGAAGTTCATCATAAAGGCCAGACTTGTCGGTACTGGGTGGAAAGTCTTGTGTACCTAGAAGTTTTAAAGGGTACTGCATTTTACCTAACATTTCAGTTTTTCATTTGCGCAACCGGACTTACCAGCTTTCGTGTTCTGAAAAGCGAACAGACTGCAAATTGTTAAGCATAGAATTTTCCACATTTTTTGAAAAACTGGAAGATGAACTTTTATTAAAACTTTTGTTAAAAAAAACCTATTAGATGTATAAACGCATTCAAACACGATTTTATGAAAAATCTGAGCTTGTCCCGTCAACTTGGATTGTCCACTAACAACATCGTCTATATTTGCTAACATGATTTTACCTTGAGGGAGATAACATTATCCCACAAATTCGTTTGTGACAGTTGTGAGTGAGAGGCGTGAAAGAACAATGAAATTGTTATGAGTGTTTGAAATTTTGGAGCAATTCTGGGGACCAGCCATATATATGTATTATTATAGTTTGAAATAACTTTGGATTCTTTTTTTAGTAACCTATTCGCCTTCTTCTTAGAAACTAGTCAACTGTGTTTATTTAAAGATCCTTTTCCTTACAACGAGGACAATCAGTATCAGAAAACTTACGAAATAACTATATTTAACTTCAGATAATTATCTGTAGAATTCATGTACTCAATAAGCTAATAATCTAACAGGAAGTTAATCTATACAAAAACTTCCTATCCCAAGACAATCCGTTTTTTGGCGAAATAATAGTCTGTTGGCATCTGGAAATAGTATGCTAACATCCAGGCACAATCAACAAGCTAGAGCTTGACCCCTTTCTTACGACCTAAGTCCAACTTGTAGATAACGTTAAAGTTCAGATCCTTAAGGACAACGTACCCACATTCTAGCAATTTTTCATACTCTAAATTCCACTTTTTCTACCAAAAAGTTGCATTATTTCCAAGAAATTTTTGATTTTGCAGCAGTAGGGGACGGATTTGCAAACTTGCAATTCCTTGCTTGATATATATATATATTCTAATTATTTGAACTATTTTCCACCGATTCTTTGTGATATGTACGTATATACGATAAATATACGAAATATGGTTCAAATAATCAAAGTGCTAAGAAAACGGCGTAACGATGCTCCACATATGATTTTGTCAACCAAATTATTTCGATTCGAAGGTTTTGCTCTGAGACAATCTTAAAAGTCTTAATCTGACCTGAGGAGTCTGTGTGATCAACACCGAAAAGGCTTACAGCTTTTTTAGCTGCAAAATTGAGATCATTCTCTATGTCGAACGTCATCATCGGATGCCGAAATTTCTCATCAAACTAATAATACTATTTACTGTCTACAGTTTTGTTTTCGAGAAATAATTGCTTTTAGCAAAGACTAGTTAAACTATCGCTAAAAATGTAAGGAAAACAGCAACGATGGCGTACGTAACTACTAACTGAACTAATATATCCGGTTGTCATTTGGGTGATGAGAGGAATATCTAATATAAAATAATCGAAAATCTCACGTGTCTCGAATATTTAAATTAGCATCAATGCGTATATTCATGTGATGTGATCATTAATTTATCGCGTGAATAGTGGTTATAAAAATCTAAAAATATTTATATTAATAAACTAATTAGCGTCTTTACATATGTATGACATACACCTTAGCCATTAAGTTACACCTACAAATGTGTATATGTATGTAATATATATGTTTCGAACGTGCCTTACTCACTCACGTTAATTAGAGAAAGATTAACTTATAATTATAAACAATTCCGCATTTGAAACAAAAACGATTAAAATATCAATTAAACGGTGATGAGTTGAAAATGTGTTTTTTTTTTTTTTGCAGAACAATTGAAAATCATGTAAAGGTGTGTTCTGTAGAGTAAGTACAGATTTAGCCGTATACAAGTATAGACGTAGAAACCCGAATCTAATAAAAGTTAAAATCGTCATGTTTCATAATCTTAAAATGATTTGTAAATGATTTTCATAGGAATCATTAGCGTAGAGTAGTCCGCTTCACAGACAGTTACATTCTATAACACGTTTAAAATGCTGGATACATTGTTTTTGAAGGACAAAAAAAGCATATTTTCTTTTATTTTCTTGACGCAATAGATTTATTAGAATACACAAAAGCAAATTTTATAAAATACTTATTTGACAACTTTACGAGGATGCCTGCTTTTCGTGGATCATTTATATTCAAAAAAAAAATTTAAATATGAATTGTTGACAGAGTTGTATACAAAACAGTACAATTTTCGTTCAAAATTACACCGTGGACTGCCTTAAAAAGACGAAAAAATCTTTCCTTCCGAGACATGTTCGATACATTCATGGAATAAAGGGCTTCGCAAAATCATGCCGTAAGTGTAGAATTTTCAAATTTAGAATGATCACGGGCGCCGTACTAGACTAAAAGTTCGAAAACCACGCATGCACCAACAAAGAGCATATACAACAAATTCTACATAAGATAATAGCGAGAGGACATTATCGTGGAGACAGACATTATAAAATCACTCTAAAATCTTTGCTATATCAACGTGAATTTATGCTTCTTCAATCCCTCTTCATTTCCAAGCGGTATTTTTGAATGTTGCAAACGGCCTGATAAATATCATTTACCGGTCCCGGTTTAAAAGGCTAAATCCTGCAATTAATATTAATAGGGGGAAATAACACCAATAGATGTGCTATTGACACTTTACTGTTTTGCTCATAATAATTACATGAACCTCTTACTATCTACTAATAAGCAAACAAAAATACGGATTAACTTGAGTTTAACAAACATTGTACGCTAACTAATTTTTTTAATTTGTTTAATGGACAAGAAGTTATATTCGGCTTGTGAATAGGACTGATCAACGGTTTATGTTCCCAAATTCACTTCATATATCGACCCTTGGTCGTATTGTTCTTATCATATATTGTATCCCTTTAGAATGATGACAATCAATGCATTTTGCACATCTAATATATTTCATGTTTCAGATATGATAATCGAATTTCCCAATGCTTTATAATGGAATCTGATAGGCTTGAAAACTTTAAAAAATCTAATATATGTTTTTATTTTTTTCTTTGATAGCACGACATGCCAATATTCCCCACCAGTTCCAAGTCAATCAAAGTAAAACTTTAGGAGAGAGGACCCTTGCAAATTTCTGCGAGGACACCTTTTTTAAGAAGTTCCTGAAAATCACACCTCAGCGGCTAAATTTTTGAAATGTTATCCTTTCCTTTAGAGGAAACCTCCACTAGCCCCTGCTTTAAAACTCGCGGAGTAGTTTAATTAGTTGTTGACACCTGTTTTTCTCGTGTAAAGATTTACTAACTTAACACTCTAACGATTTTAAATTGGAGTGCGCTCAAAAATGGTTAATTTTGTTTTTATGTTACACCGCAGGATGAAACTTGCTCCTGTCACACCAAATGAATAAGAATAATAACTAACAAGCGCAAATCGTAGCCCTTCTACTCCGTTTCATAATTCATACCAACTTAACATTTAATGTAAATGTTAATTCGAAGGTCTATAATTTCCGTTTCTTTTCTTTTCTTACTACTGCGTTGTCATCACTCAAGCTACTTGCTTCCTTCTACTAATCGATGTTTTACCGCTTTTTTTGCGCAATTGGATTGATTTGTAATTTCTGCTTTAACGGGTTTACAGATATTTTTCGGTTGTAATTTCCACCATTTTAGCAGCATTCGAAGCTTTTACCTATGCTTTTTACCTTTGAATAAGGAGATTAAGAATGAGAAAAGGTGTTCTTTAATCATGTAAAATTTATTAATTAATTAGTTTTAGAACTAATGAATTATAATCTATGGAATCGATTTAACACTCACACGCTTTAGAGGTATTTCGAAATTAGTGTTCTTAAGACACCTTTAAAAGATGAAGAATTTTCTCTGAGAAAAATGCATACTAAAGCAGAGCGTATGCGTACAAGTAATTAAAAAAATTAACACTGAGATGTATTCGAAACTGTTTAAAGAGCTGAGCGAGAATATTTATATTTTCGAAAGTTTTAATTTTTCTTACGCCTCGCTTCACAAGAAGTATTTTCAGGAATCTAGTAGAAAAAAAGTTCTGAACGAAAACAACGCAACCATTGCATAACCATATGATTGATTTATAAATGAAAAGAGACTGGGAATCAGCTGATTTCTTCACTCGTTTTAAAGCTCACACAACTTATAAGCGCCTTCTTGTGAGAATTTCCATTGTTACACTTAATGCAAATTTCATTTATTCATAAAATTTTTAAAACGAAATGAACATATTTTGGTTTCAAGCTTGTGGTATGTGAAATTAATTCACACATGCACGCATACATAGTATAATAAATATAAATAATATATAATATATCCGTTCAGCTGTTTTCTTCCCCCTGAGAACACTTGTCTTAAATGTTGCACTGTTTATTTAGATGAGGAAACAAAACTGTATTTAAAGTTTCTAATCGCACTTTGCTCTACGAGATCATGAAAATTTTGTTTATGATCATTTGACAAAAAAAAACAACGACGACAACAACAACAACCAAGCAAATCATTTCAAGTTCACAGATCTACTACACAATCATCTTTTTACCAGACTAAAATTTTTCAATTAATTGCGTTTTGGGTGAAAATGTTCACTGCAAATCGATTACACAAAGCGCACACATGCAATTTAAAATTAACATTTCACGTTACCAATAAGCGTATATAATATGGTTGCTTTTTACACTATTTAAAATATTTACAATATTTTTAAATTACATTCACAAACGAAGAAAACGCAAATTTAATTATATTCTTTTAGTGAAACACGTCTCAGCAAAGGAAGGCGTCTTGATTGGGCAACATCCAATAGGCTTTTAAATCAGTCAATGAGCTGAGCATCGGTATATGAATAAATTCAACTGTTTAAAATTAAAATTAAAATACGACGCGGCTTTCAGCGAATCTGAGTTACTCTTCAGAAATTTTTAAATTTAAATTATATAAAATATATTTCCTACTAACGTTAGAATGTCTTATGAATGTGTAATGCCTCTAATAAGGCTAATCGGCTAGCTCAATCTCCACAACGGTCAGGAAACCTAATCATTGTAGTAAACTATGGGGGGTTCGCATTCCATGCTTTCCTCTGAAGGCAGAAGAATTCCCCTTAAGGTTTAATGCGTCGTTACCAAAACACCGGCTAGTTTTTCGAATTAATCAATCACTTTGATCGCAACAACAAATAAAATATGATTCACAATAAACTTACATTACAATAGCATTAATTTTTGTTTTAATGATTAAGAGGGATTAAGAGTTACGTGTATAGGTGCCGCAAAAATGTAGATGTGGCGAATTTCCCATTCTTTAAAAAAGAATTATTCAAAAACCTTTCGCATACATCTTAAGTACAGTCATGTAAATGGCAAGCTGAAGACATTTCCCTGCTTTTCTTTCCTTCTCCGCCGACATATCGTTAGAGGTACGTACATTTCATCCTACCGCGAAAAACCGTCTCTGACATAAGAATTTGTAAAAAATTCATATTTTGTTGATGAGATTTATTGAAAGTTCACACATACTAACCAAATACTTTCAACAAAAATTTACATACATATTTGCATTCAAATTCAAACCTGTCTTTTTGTTTTCATCGCTTAGGTGATATATTAATTTCGTCACCTCATTTGAACGCTCGAAAAGCAGTCCATAAATTTTACATCTTGGAAAACGTTGCTTACATGTGTCTTGACTCCTCTGTCGATAAATAGAATTACCAAATACAGCAGGATGGAATAAAATTTTACTTACAGGTGAAAAATAATGGAGTTAATGAACAGGTAAGACGGGGGTAAATAATCCGAATGACTCTCGATCGATTTATTACTTGATTAAAGCATGAATCATTGATCGAACACGAAGTGGTACACTGGGAAAAGCTTACGTTTCGCCGTTAAACCCGTAAATATCAGAATTTTAGAAGTGTTTTGGTAGCTCGGACATCGTATGCGTCTTTTTAGTTGAACCTTTCTCAAGCAATTATTTCCCAAAAAAATATTAATTTTCCACATAGTAGTAATTCTGATTTGCTTCTCAAAGAGTTTCAGTAAAAGTATTCCGCGAAACACATACTCATTATATGAAATTTATTAACTTTAAACTTCGATCGACGCAATTCGCATCTAACGTTACGTATTCAATAATCCGTCTACTAAAGTCCTACGTAAATAAGGTACATCTGCACATGGCTAGCAATCATCTATTTTTCCTGTTATTGGCGCAACAATAGCGCTATAGAAAGACAAATGCGCCGACAGGGCCTCGGATAAACGTGAGTAAACTAATCAATAATCTATGGTTACTCGATTCTTTTCACTTTCCTTTATATTCTTTTATCGTTATTATTATAATAATTATATTATTATATAATTATATAATAATGCATTCCTGTAGTAACGTCCATCAACAATTGCATTCCATCCATCAACGGTTCCATTTTTATCGATCTATTAGGATGTCGGAAAAATTCTGCCATATTCTCATTAAAGCATGCGAATTTGAGGATGTCTAATGTGTTCCTCGGCAATCGAGTGGTGGTTGGCGATATGTGGGTTACTCTCCAACAAGTTACCCAAAATGTCATTATCGTTCAGATCAACGACCTTCTCTGCGAATGAAATTTTCGGAAGGAAGTTTAGCAAATCATCTGTGACGGCGCAATCATTTAGAATTTCACCTTGCAATGTGTTACATAAGTTGCAAGTAACCGATTTGTTACTTCCTTGTTCCACCTTTTTCCTTTATATATTAAACTTCGTAAGTGATTGACAAAGTGGAAAACTATTGGGAGCAGTTCTCTTGTACGCTACATAATGCAACCACAATTTCGACCTGCTTACTTCGACGTGACAAATCAAATTACTTGCAAGTATTAAAATGCGACGAAATTTTGCCGCCAACCTAAACAATATCAGGTGGAGCCGGCGTGGCGGGCCAGGAGACCATTAAATTATTTTATAAAAATTCACAAATAAGAATTTGCTGAAACCCGTCCAATGTATATACAATTAATATAACAACAATTTTCCCGTAGAGCATTAATGACCGCCAGACCTAATTGCCAATCATTGCTTCAATTTAATTACAGAGTATGTTTGGTAATTCGCAGTGGTAAGTATAAATGCGAACATTTGAGAACATTTTTTTATTTATTTAAGTGTTGTTGTGAATTTGTTATTGCTGTTTATTTACATGTTATGTATATAAAAATGATTTGTTTGCTATTTAAGAAAATTTAAAGGTTTATTTTTTTTAAACACATTCACTGATTTGTCGGTTTCCACAATGTCTACATGACGTTGAAATAAATATTGCATTCTCACTACCATTTGCCTAATACATAAATATGTATATATATATAAATATATATATGGTATGACTTGTTTTCAACACCTACTCGAGCAAGTAAATTTACTCATACCTCTGTTTTTACATTAGAAAAAACTTATCTAAAATATTACAAACATTTCGAACACGTAGGAATAATCATTTCAAATTTTTATATTATTTTTGACAGTTTATCTGTGAACCTATGGAAAGCGTCCATTTGCAGCGAACATTCTAGAGACTAGACTTAAAAGGTAAGAGGGAAGGCAAAAGCATAATGACTTCCAATATATGTTAAACATATATTTAAGTTTTAGAAACAAAAAAAATGATTGACTAACACTAGAACTACCGATGTTGTGCACTTACTTATTCCTGCAAAAAGGTTTTGATCTTGTTTTGTTGGGAAATCGAAAAAATTGCAATTTAGCATAAACATGAGCTGGTCGATTAAAAATT